ATGTAAAACTAGAATTTTCCGAATAAAATACAGTCAAATTAGTCGATCTATTTCTTTCTGTTTTTTAATAATGATTGATCAAAGTATAAATCTGCGCAGGAACAATACTACCAGCTACCATCTCCATCCGGCCGCCAAGGTAACTCCTTTACCTTTTTTCTTTGTATTTTGGTCTGATTGATGAATTGGGATTTCATGTATTGTTGAGATTTGATGTTATGAAGAAATTTAAGTTCAAATAGCTGAATTGATAGTGAAGCCGCAGATTGAAAATTCCGGAGTTTGGGATTATATGTACAATTCTTGATTTACTGGGTTTTTTGTTTGTGTAATGTTATTTCTCATAATTTGAATTTTCAAAAACTAATATTTGCATATGGATGCATAATTATTAGTAGGGATTTGGATGGTTTCTGTTCGGAGGTTGAACTGAAATCTGTTGTTGTGGAACTGGCAGTAATACTTTTCTCTGAGGTGGCATATAAATGATGCATTGATGCTCACTATAAAAATTGAAACCACGACCTCTGCTGCTTTGATATGGTTCCTCGTCCAAAAGCTCGAGCAGTTCGAGAGTCAACGAACTAATTTACTTAAATTATGTCTTCAAGGGGAGTTTCTCATCATTTTCATAAACTAACAGACCTGTGATCTTGGCAAGAGACCACATAACAGACCATTTTCTACACCTGTTTAACAATCTGATGTGACTCAATGCTATCTGCTTTCTCAAATGCCACATGGGCTGAAAAAAGTTAAGAGTGATTACAAAAGGAGTATGAATATTAACGCTGTGATCTACTTGGATTAAGTATTAACAGAATCAGTTTTATTTTTCAGTCACTTGATATTTGTAGGAATGACCCATCAATAGACGGGTGACCTCACAGTTTCAGAATTATCGTCTTAGGCCTCCAACTCTTTTAACACCAGATAAGCAGTAACGTAAAAAAGCAGCAACTATGGGGTCAAACTTGGTCCAACCGATGGTTGCAGCACTAATTTCAGCTATAATTGCTGCCAGAGCTTATAAAAAGAATTCACTTAACCTCTCTGGGGCTCTTCTTGGTTTCACTGTCATGACCATTCATATTGCTGTGAATTACAGGTTCCCTTTTCCCCCTATCTATCACAAACGCATTTGAATGAATTATGGGCCTCTTTATCCCTACAAAAACAAAAGTTTTGTTATCTTCTTATTCCGGAACGAATTATAGGTTTGGAGCTGTGTTGCTCGTCTTCTTTTTCACTTCCTCTAAGTTCACAAAATTTGGAGAGGATAAAAAGCGAAAAGTTGATGCGGATTTCAAGGAGGGGGGCCAACGCAATTGGTAAAACTCCAACTCTCCCACCCTACTTCCTCCCCATCCCAACCTCTCCATACGCGTGCACACACGCACACAGAGATAGAGATAGAGATTTCCGGCTGATATTATGATTTAAACTTAATTTTACTTAATCTTTGACAACTGTGCATGTCTTTTATATGATTTATGTTTTTGTATTTACTCTGAGGAGATGATTGAATTATTGTACAATAAAAAATATCGAGTGTCCAAATTTAATTTTTTAATCATTACTTGAATTTTCTTGGAAATATTTGAGAATATATTTCATAGAAAAAATTGCACGCTATCCACGAGTTAATGTGCATGTTACATTTGAAGATTTTCTGTCCTGAATCCAAATTTTTAAGCAACCCACATGTATAATTAATTATGATAAAAGAATCAGAACAGTGAAACTGAAAGAAGCCTCACTCCAACCACTTGATGTCAATTTTATGAATGCTGTTTTGCCATAAAAGCAAAAAGCATTATCTTCAGATAACATTTTCTGTTTCCCTCCAAGGTTTATATTATACAGTCATCATCATGTGTCTTTATAAAAAGTTTTTGATTGTCATTTCAGTTGTTTTTCTCATGTTTCAAACAATATTGTCTAAGAAGTTCTGATCCACGTGAAATTATCTGAATATTTTGTACATAAGAATAGGTCCCTTCTTTCTCCAATTGCACGTGATGGTCAAGATGCCCCTGCAAATGACTTCTGCTAGAACGTAAAGTATCTGAGACGCATTAGCTAATTTATGTTGTTTCACTAGCTTTCACTATTTCTTCTTTACAGGATACAAGTTCTATTTAATAGTGGCATTGCATCCATTTTAGTCTTGATTGCTTGGAAGTTAGCAGGAGCACAAGATAGTTGTCTAAATTCAAAAGAATCAAGTCTTATGACTGCTCTAATGGGTGGTATTATTGGTCACTATTGTTGCTGCAATGGAGATACCTGGTCATCAGAGCTTGGAATTCTTAGTGATGAGCAACCTTTATTGATCACAACCTTAGAGGTAAATAAACACGGCTTTAAAATATTGGCTCATATTCACATTTCTCCTGTTTCTTTTCTTTTCTTAGCTACATTCATTTCCGGTGATTGCTCCTGCCATTGAGCATCACTCTACCTCAATTCTTCACCATTCTTACTATTGAATTAAAAGGCAAACAATAAAATTAAGCATAACTTTATTAGTCACTCAACCCAAATATAAGTTACCAATGAGTTCACTTCATGTGTTGAGCATTGTACGAAATTTCTGTTACATGGTTCATATTTTCATTTAGGCTTTTTATGTATGGAAATCACTCTTCAATATGTCAATGAGGCTGTATCTAAAGGTTAAAAGACTAAGACAGATTTTAAAATACTAAGTTGTCTCAGGTTCAAGTCCCAGTTATTTGTGTGGTCTCATTTATTTTTCTCCTCTTTTCTCACCATTTCACGTGTTTATGTTCTTATTTATTGTCCCACTATATGTTGAATTTGTAAGTGTGAGCAATTTGTAATTTTATTTCCAATTTATCAGCCAGTTCAGAGGGGTACAAATGGTGGTGTAACAAAAGCCGGACTTCTAGCAGCTGCAGCAGGGGGCAGTGTCATTGGACTGGCATTTGTTATTTTAGGATTTTTCACCACCAAATGCACGTTAGATGTAACCCTGAAGCAGCTATTATTGATACCCCTTTCAGCTGTTGCAGGACTATGTGGAAGTGTTATAGATTCTTTGTTGGGAGCAACATTGCAGTTCAGTGGTTTCTGCAGTGTTCGTAAAAAGGTGAGATTTCTTTCTTTTAATCGTTGGATGGATAGCTGATACTTGAATAGGGACCTGAAAGCTAGTCCTGAGATATGGTTTAAAAATTTGTCAGCTGATTCTGCACTGAAAGGAAAAGGACTAAGAGAAATCTCAATTGGATTTTTAAACTTTATTTTTTCTTAGTTGGGTCACTGAATTCTATTTAGTTTCAAATGTCACCTACCTACTATCTTCAAACTCATAGAAATTGCTTAGTCGGAGATCTTCCATGTGATCAATCCGTGGCATGTCAACTCACCACTAGGCCACGTTAGGAAAGTGTTAAAATGTAAAACATGTCTTTTAATCTGAGTAGTGACATGAATTTTAACACTTCTTTGACCTGTCGTGTCGTAAGTTGGCATGCTACAGATTAATTACGTGGAAATTACAGTTTTTCTGTCAACTAAGCAGTTTTCATCTGTTTGAATTGAAACTAAATTGAAATTTAGTGACCCAATTGAGATTTCAGTGAAACTTCAGTGACCATGGATGAAATTTACACTTTATGGTTTTCTTATTTTATATAAAAAATAGTTACTTAGCCCTGACCTTGCCATCAATTTTTTGAAAAGATGGATGCCTTCAATAGGTTTTTTAAGAGTTCATGTAGAAACAAATTTTCTTTTATGTTGTAAGATAAAGAGAAAAAGGGGGGAAATTGAGCAAGAACCTGTTTGCAATATCAATGCAAATTTCTTATAAGAAAAGATAGCAGCATATAATAATGTCAAGTGATGAGGGCGTCAGGTCACAAGCCACCTGGGGACTTGGATTTTTGTTGTGATTGTCGTCCCTTTAAAATATTTGTATCTAGAGTATGTTTAGCTTAGCTTAGAAGTTCATTTTAAGTGAATTTTTTGGCAAATATGTTTAGACCTTTTTTAAAAAGTTTCTTTTTTTTTGAGATATTTAGTTCAAAAACTTATTTTCCAAAGACGTGCTTTTACTTATTTTAAGCTTAGCCAAACATGCTCTTTGTCAACATGTTGCGAGATTTCTAGTATAAAATTCATAAGTGAAGAAATCAAAAGGCACGTCCTTAGGCTCTGCTGTTGGGTTATAGATTTCTAGACATTTGAACTTTTTATTCAGAAAACATTAAGGTTTCCTTGTGTTTGCAGGTTGTTGGAAAACCAGGACCAACTGTAAAGAGAATCTCTGGTCTTAGTATTCTTGATAACAATGCTGTGAACCTCGTCTCTGTATTTTTGACAGGTGCACTGACTTCCATTGCTTGCTCCGTTATTTTCTGAGAGTAATAATGCGAATGGAAAATAATAGAGTTATACAATGTTCTAGAATCATGTTGCATCCATTAGTTTTACTATCAATAAAATATTCCTGATTCCTATTAGATAAATTTTCTAACCGATAATTGGGAGAAAAATTATGGACATATTTAGAGAAGAAGAATTGTATGGCATCTTGTTAATGTTATAATTTGGATGGACACTTTGTATCTGCTATGCAATACAAGACATGGTTAAAATATGATAGTGTTTGCTGTGCATTATTTTTACTTGGGGATGAGATTGGCAATGATGTATATACTAATAGGAATGAAGTGCTAGCGGTTGGAGATGTTACATCAATTGTCATGTTTGCATCATGTCCACTATTACGTTTCTAAATATCCAGATTGGTTCGTATTAGGCCCCTGTTTGACACCAGTATTTGGAAAGAATAGAGTTTTGAATGGTGATTTTTAGGATAACGTGTAGTTAAAATGGAGGGAAAATTTTTGGATTTACGTGCAAAACATTTTATTTTATGAATGTGTGGATGAAAATGAGTATGTAGAAAAAAGAATTTGAAAATAATGGGTGTCCAACAGAGGCTAGAATAGGTGGACCCGTAGAGAACCTGTCAAATGATAGGGATGGTTCTGCTGGTTAATGGCTGATAAAAAGGTCGAGATATGATATTAAGCTAAGGTTTTACAAGATAACAAGTGTCTTGAAGGACCTATGACTAGCATTTGTGATGAACTCTGCAAGTTGGCTCTTGCTTTGGTTGCCGGTTTGAAAGTCTGCTTTAGTCAGCTTATGTGAGACACTGCTCATCGCAAGCATGTTCAGTAGAATATTGGTGTAACACTCTTTTTTTTATGGAAGTTATTTTCCTCACTGTTTGTGTTGTGGATAATTTTATAATCCAATAGACAGTTTGTGGAAGAATCCGACTGGGTGCTTGGTTATTATGGACTTGGTCTTTTGATATAAGTTTCTGTTTGATGGTCATTATTTTGAGAAAATGAAGTTTCAAATAGTGATTTTTTTAGAGAATGTGTAGTTAAAATGTAAAAAAAATCTTTAGGTCTATCTATGTGCAAAAAATTTTATTATGTAAATGTGTGATTGAAAATAGAGCCCGTTTGATTCTCATTAATTGGAAAAAAATGAGTTCCAAATAATATTTTTAGGAGAATGTGCGGTTAAAAAGTAAGGAAACAATTTTGGTATATGTGTAGAATATTTTATTGTGTGAATGTATAGTTGAAAATGATCATGTATGAAAATATAAAATAAATTAATGGGTGTCAAACATGCACTAAGTATGAGAATTAAAGAATTTTGAAATAATGATCATCTAAATACAAAAGAAATGAGCGTTTTGATGCCATACTTGGTTGACAGGAAGAGTTTTGATATTCGTTGATGTTGAGTAGGCGACAATCTATTTAGTGGAAATTTCACCAAATCCTAGTATTAAAATTCTGAATTCTAAAATCAGATGGAGAGTTTAACATTTCAAAAATAAGATATATTATCATTAAATTTATTATAATTAAATATATTATCACAATCCCTAATTAATTCATCCAATTCAATTACAAATCCTAAAAATTTATTTCACTCTCCCTCTCTTCCTCACCCTCCTGTCTCTTTCCTTGGGAGCACGCCCTCGCCAGAGCACCACCTCCAACGAGTTGCGGCGGTGAAATGAAGTGGCGACGATGCTCTGGTGGTGGCGTCGGCAGTGTTTCTGCATCATGGTGCTCTGGAGGCGACGACGCTCTGGAGGTGGTGTGGTAGTATTTCTCCTTGTGGATCTACTTTGCCAATCTCGATTAAAACACTGCTCAAATCTACCCACTTCGTCAGACGCCGATCTAGAGGCTAAGTAGATCTCCTTGTGGAAGCGTTTCTCTAGAGGCGAAGCAGATCTACCCACTCTGTCAAATGCCGACGTTGTCGCGGTGCCACTGTAATGAAGAGGTGAAGCAGAAGCAGCGTTGAGCGGGTTTGAATGGTGTGTTGTGTGGTGGCGGTTAGGCGATTGGGGTGGGTTTGGACGACTTTTTGTGCGGTGGTGGTGATGATGTTTGTGTGGTGGCTGTTTTGTGGTGGAGGTGGCAATGACGGTGGTTGTGGGTAGGACGATGTGGGGTAGGGATGTTTGTTGGTGGTTGTCGTTGTATGGTGCAGGCGGCGACGGTGGTGTTGGTCGTCATTTTTTGTTGTGGGTGATTGTCGTGTTGGGGTGCAGGTGGCGGCGATGATGATTTTGTAGTTGAAGATGTGGTTTGTTCGTTGTAGGTATGTTTGGTGGTGATGGTTTCTGGTGGCGATGGAGGCGGTTGTTGGTGGCGGTATCGGTATCGGTGGTGGTGGTGACTTCGTCGGCCACCGTGTGAGGTGGTCGCAAGTGGCGGTGGAGATATTGGAAGTGATGGTGGTATGCGACTCATTAGTTGACATGTGACCAGTCACTTGTGACTCTTAAAATTTGAAAATTTGTAACCTTTTTAAAATTCGAACTGTAACTCACAATTGATTAAGTTGTGACCGATGATCTATAAAATTTTTGATTTGTGACATTGAACAAATTTGTGACCTATAAAATTTTTGATCTGTGACCGATAAACAAATTGTGACCTATAAAATTTTTGAGCTGTGACCGTAAAATAATTTTTGATTTGTGATCTCGAAATAATTTGTGACCTACAAAATTTTTGACCTGTGATCGATAAACAAATTGTGACCTATAAAATTTTTGAACTGTGACTGTAAAATAATTTGTGACGTAAAAAATCATGATTTGTGATCGAAAAATAATATGTGATTAACTAAATTGTGAATATGTGACTATATTATATAAATCTGTGACGATCACCGAAATAGTCCCCGGAATAATTGTTGGAATCGGAACGGTTGACGGAAGGCTTCAGAACGGTCATCGAAAAAGTCACAGGAACGATCATCGGAACAGTCACCGAATTAGAGTGTAGCCGGAATGATCGCCGAAATAGTCTCCGAAGCAATAGGGGTGGTGGAGGTGAGGTGGATTAATTATATTATATTAGAGTTAAATATTTAATAAGTTTATTTAATAATTTATTAATTCAT